ACGTTTGTAATTTTTCTCTGGTAAATTGTTTTAAGGTTGTTCTCTTTTTATTTCCACAGCACAACTTTCACCCCCTCAGACAAGCTTCAGGTCATCCAACTGACCTTCGAGGAGATAACCCAGGAAGTACTTGCACTTCTGAAACAGGATTTCTTGTGGTCTATGGATGACCTGTTTCCTGTCTTCCTCTTTGTTGTTCTGCATGCACGGTAAGAATGAGATCGCAAGGTTTCGAAGGCCCTGTTTTTTGTATGTATGTATGTATCTACACTACCTTTCAGTTCAGTACCTAGAGTTTTTAAATGTTTTTGAAAGAAGACTCTTATGGATGCCATGGCTGCATTTATTTGATCAAAAATATAGTAAAAACTGTAATAAAATTTCACATTATTACAATTTAAAATGACTGTTTTTCATTTGAATATATTTTAAAAAGTAATGTATTCATGTGATGCAAAGCTGAATTCTCAGCATCATCACTCCAGTCTTCAGTGTCACATGATCCTTCAGAAATAATTGTAATGTGCTGATTTGGTGCTGAAGAAACATTTCTTATTATAATTAATGTTGAAAACAGGTGTGCTTCTTAATATTTTTGTAGAAACCATAGTACATGAAGATGTGTCTTGGCTGACTAATTATGATCAGATCACACAAGACAGATACACTTACTAGGCATAAATGTGGTCTCAGAGAGAGAGGATGTGTTCCATTTAGAATACATTTCTTTTTATATGCATATGCTTTAGCACAGAAAATAACATTGTTTAAAAAAAAGGCATGCTTTAGTTAGCTGTTGTTCTCTAAAGGATAAGGAATCTGGGGTCAGAGGTCAGCCTCATCGAGGATCTAATGGATCCATGTGTACAACATGGAGAGCATGGCATCATGTTCACCACACTCAAGGTATAGTATAAGGTTTTTTCAACAAAAAGTTTTTGTTTACGTAGTATATGTGTGTGCACTGTGTATATTTTATATGTGTATATTATAGTATATATAAATACACACATGCATGCATTTAAAAAAGAAATCAAATCAAAGTTGTTCTAAGACAAGAATGCATTTTGGTTTTAGGACAACTTTGATGAAAGGTTTTGATCCAGTTCAAATGTTGACAAGTGTGTATATATATATATATATATAATGTACTTAAGTATTCATTTGCTTGGTACAGTTGCAGCAACTTTTATGTGATGTGTTCACCACTGAGAGAAACAGTTAATGTCTTAATTTGAGTGATTAAGATTTACGTGATAAAAATGCTACAAATGTGTTGTCATCTACCATTTAAAGTAATTATCCTCATAAATATGCAAATAAGCATGTTATCTCTGGGCTTACAAATATACAGTGTGAAATCAGTGTGTGTACCAATTGCTGTTCTGAAATCCTCCTCCTCTTCCTCACTCAGGCATGCTACTATCAAATCCAGCATGAGAAGATCACGTAATGAACACATCTCTCCAAACCCATCTGGTAAGGCAGTGGAATGACTGACAAACAGACCAGCCAATCAAAGTGTTCAAGACACAAAGTGGGAGGAGCCAATCATGTTCCATGCCTGGATCACATGGCTGAGGAGGTTGATTCCATTGGAATCTGAGCTCTCACACTCAAAACAGTCCAGTTTATGTGCAAGTCCGTCTTTGGTTTTGCAATTATTAACATTTATTCTTTACATTTTTGTGTCTTCTTCACTCAGAAAGCCATTATCGAGGCTTTTTAACTGCTGCCATTCCATCATGTTAAAGGTATTTATGTACTCCAGCTCAGTGTTCTTTTATTAAAGAGCCCATGCTTTGTTGGCTCAGAATGAATGACATTCAAGAACAGCATGTCATGATCACCTCTCCCTCCATGCACACACTGGTCAATCCAGTGTCAACTGTCAATTGATGACGTATGAAGTTCATAAGTGTACTGTAAGACATCCGAAATAATGGTCATCTACCTCTACTACATTAATTTTCCTGATCTTATTATATCATTCAGTGCAAACAGCAAACTGCCTTGGACCTAAATCATGAATCTGTTCACATAAATCAAAAAAAGATGTGCGCCTTATTAATGAATGTCCAAGAAAAAAACACAAAATGCAGACTTTAACTTTTAATGCTGACTTCTGATCCATTTGGAGCTTTCATAACCAACTGCGCAGGGGCGGTGACCTGCTTCTTTATGTACAAATCTTCGTTCACAAGCTCTTGGTTCAGCCAAATTGAAATTAGGATTGAAATGGTTGACACTAAACTGAGGTCAACACATTTTTTGTTCTTTCTCTATGCACTCGCACAGCAGTTTTGTTTTGATGCACTCTTCTTTCTGGGAAGTATTTTTGTGGTCAGTTTTCTGAAAATGTTCAAATCTTTATTTCAGAAAACGGTTGGAATAGTTTCAGCTTTCCTCTTCATATTTGAATGTCCGTCGGCAATGTTTGAGTTTTTTAGTGAATGCCACTGGCACACTGGAAGAAGACGTTGAAGATCTTGCTCTGTGGTGAACCACAACACTCAAGATTTGCATGCTGAGCTAATTCGGTCTTGAGATGTATTTTCTGCATTTTGCTGTTGTTAAATTAAGCAGTTATTGCAGAAAGGTCACTCGACATACGCAAGCACTGTAGTATTCAATGTTAAAATCAGTTCTTTTTTGTGAAGTATTCTGAAAAGTGCCTCTGACAGTGTTATGGACTGTGAAATAGTGTCATTACATCTCTGTACCCAGCAATAGCTTCGAGTTGAGTCTCACGTTTTAAAGCTCAACAGCCTAATACATAATTTCTTTTATTGACATTGTTTTATTTATTTGATGGTTAGATCTGGCTACAGCACAGATAATCTGAGCGATGTAGATAATCTGCAGGGTATTTCACGTTCAGAGCACCAGAAGGATGGTGGGTTTGTATAAATGGTCACAAAACCCATTTCCAAGAATCAGAGATCAGGATTTTGATGCTTGCATGTGATTGTATGTTCCTAAACGTAATCGTGAAAACTGTAATGACAAAAGACTGTTGATGTTTACAACCATTAACACTTGAGATGTTGCATGAATACCATAGTTCATGTTGTACTTTGGGTTCAGGAAGGCACGGTTTGTACTTCCACATCAGTTTTTCTATGCTGAGCCAAGGTGTGCATATTAACCTGTGTATGAATGTATGTGTGTGCAAGTATGTATGAAGTTTCTGTGTCATTTTTGAAGAATACGGTTTGTTCCAATTGTTTACTGACTCATAATTCAGATGGATGGCAATAAAACAATGATTGGGAATTGAAATGGTCATCTTCAGTATTTTAATAGGCCTTTATTACAACAACAACGACAACAAAAACTGTTTTCCAAAACTTTATTGGTTGAACAAGTCAAAAAGTTTGCATTTGGTGCTGGGGTCAATGGGTTTTAGATCGCATTTAAGAGGCATTTATATTGGTCTATTTCCACTGTCAAGGCGGCAAAAACATGTTCACCAGCGACTGTTGAACCCTTCCATTGGCATTTGTTTTTGCAAAAATAATTACAGTCATGCTGCATTTGCATAATAACAAATGTATAATAGCTTCTAGTTACAAACTAGCACATATTTTGATTGGTCGCTTGACCATTGATGTCAACAACAAATGAAGAAGAAATGGTAAGTGTTTCTTCTTTCTTATAAAAGTTCATAATTTATTTATTTGCTATCCTATGCCTGATTAAATGGTTTGTAGCATTTTAATATTTGCGTTTATTATTTGCAGGCTTGTCAGAATGGACAAATCTGTGACACATTTTTTTAACTGCTTTGGCCTTAAAGGGTTAGTATCAACATCTCTTTGAACTTTTTATGTTAAACACATTTTTGGATAGTAGAGAGAGCAATGAGATTAAGTATCAAATTATGAAAATTGGAGATAAAAAAAATTCTAAATCATGGAGCTCATGGGGCATCCAACTAAAAATGCTCTGGATCATGTTGTGTTAAACAGAATTTCGTTTTATTTGGACTTTAAACGATATAAAGTGTTTCAAACCACTCTGTAGTAATAAAAGGTAGAGTCAGTAAAAGAAATATGGGAGACCATATCAATGATTAGGTGCCACTTAAATGGATAGTTCATCCAAACATCATTCACTCAGTTTCATTTTGTTCCAAACTTAAAATCTAAATTCCTCATCTGCAAAACACACAAGTACAGTGGAGATCAAATTAGAGAACAATCTATAAATACTTGTTTTTTTCTGAAATATTGTTAATCTTCATCGCTCAAACTTTAAATGGAATATTAGCTGCATATACCGCTTTTCTACTAACATGTTTGACAAAAGGAAAAAAATTTATTTTGTGGAAAGCACAGTAGGTTTCTTAGCCGTAACTTTGACGCCAAATAAAATGTTTCCCATCAGACTCAAATGAAACTTGCTCTCAGTGAACTTTGAACCAGTTCTCCTCTCTCCACACAACATGCTTCTCAGAAAAGGTGAGCTTAGCCTTTTGAATCTTTCTGCTGATGAGGGTCTTGGCCACTGCAGAGTGCGATTTCACTCCGACTTCTCTTAAACAGGCCGAGACAGATCCTTACCCTGTTCAGCGCTGAACTGGAAAGCAATTCCAGCTGCAGTGCTGAACCGATTCCCTATTGAGAGTCTCCGCATTATCCTGTCCTCTCATGGGCAGTGTGATAAAAATAAAAAAACAAGTGTGACTGTGTCATTCGCTCCGCTGTTTTAATCAAGAGGATTACATCCCACGTATGTGTGCGTATGTGATGCAGAATGTATTCAGTGTGGGATCATCAGATGTTTAATATGTGTTGTGAGTGTTTACGTGTTATGATGAATCAATAACTGAAAGCCTAAAGGAGTTTTGTGATAGAATGACGTTTGAAAGAATGTGAAAGGACATTCACTCACAGACACGTGCTGACACACTCTCCAATCCCTCCCTTCCTAATTTCCTCCTTCACGTTCCTATACACTCTCTCTCCCCGGTTGACTCTTTTGCTTGCAAGGGATTAAGCAGGATAGAGCGGGATTACACTTCTTTTTTCCAAGAGGACTTTTCCGTGCTCTGCTATGGAATACTATTCACGTTATTCCTCTGTTTATACCATCATATCTGAGTTAAAACTGGCCATCATCATGCAAACCTTCTTTAGAAGCTCTTCAGTGTGTTAAATTCTAAACTGGGATCTAAACAGAGAAGACAAACGGAACGTGAGGGAAGAGGGAGGTGAGTGAACAGGATTTGCTACTTAAGTCTCTGCCTGGATGTGGGTTTGTGGTTCTTGCTTCCCAGACTTATCTACGAGGAAGCTCCCTGTGTGACAAATGTAGTATGCTGTTTATTTACAGTAATTATTAACCCTTCCTTGTGTGAGTTCCTGGGATTCTCCAGTTGGATTCAACATTGTTACATGTAAATTCTAGACATATCCTGCAGTCAACTATCAGATTTGGTTATGCAAATGGACTCAAATGCAGAAACACTGAGGTAAAACCATTTTTAAAAGGACAGTAACTCTCAGAAAGGATATTTGAAAATATGACGTGAAGAGTTTTATATCACACCCATTTAGTCATAAAGTCTGAAATTAGGTGCACCTGTCTTGTTCAAAAGCAAACTAATATCCAGTATTCACCTGTATTCTCCAGTATTCCAATATCCAATATTCGCCTGCAGTGATCATAACAAATCATGTTTAGAAACATGCTCTTTCGTCTGTTATTGTTATTTAAGTAGCATTTTTTTAATCCAAAGCCACTCAGGGTGCAGTTATTACCAGGACAGGACCCTTAGAGTAACCTGTACTTAAGTGTTTTGCTCAAGGTCAAAACTGTGACGGGCATTCGTGGACCACCTCCATTCTGGGATTTCTGGATTTAACCTAAAACCTCTGGGTTATCAGCCCTTACTCCTTAACCAGTTAATTTTCTTTAATTTGCAAATGTATCATTCACATGTTTATCCAAAATAACATATTATACACTAAGAACAATGACAGTCCCTATGGACCAATGATCCTTAGAGTTTTGACCTACACGCTTTTGGTTACTAGCCTTGATCTCTACCAGTGTTATTTGTCTGTAAAGGTTTTAATTGCATATCCAAATCATAATGTCTCATATATTAACCACTAAAGTAAGGTAGGCCTGGAAACATGAATTGTATTTACAACTACAAAAAGTTCTAGAATGCATTTCCCAAAAGCATCGTAAGGCTAAGTAGATCATAGAGATCATCAGAGCCAATGGTTCAACGGTACTTAGGCTTATGGTGCTTTTGTGAAGCGCAGCTCTTGTTAGAACATCTTATACACACCAGTGAAGAGGATGTAACAGCATAAATCACTTTAACAGACTGATAAGCTCTTTTGCACTACACTCGTTATATCGTCACAGTTGTTTATATCACTGGTTTGCACTATAACTGCCATGTGCCTTATGCCACTTTTTCTATCTCTCTTTTTTTCTTTTTTTTTACACAATGTCCTTATTTGTATATTGTATAGGTTGTATTTTATATATATTTAAACTGTATTTATCTGTATTATGTCTACTGTTAGTGTTAAGTGTTAACTGTATGCACCAAGGGTCTGAGAGTAACGCAATTTCAATTCTCTGTATGTATGTGCTGTACATGGGATTTCTGGATTTAACCTAAGACCTCTGGGTTATCAGCCCTTACTCCTTAACCAGTTAATTTTCTTGAATTTGCAAATGTATCGTTCACATGTTTATCCAAAATAACATATTATACACTAAGAACAATGACAGTCCCTATGAACCAATGATCCTTAGAGTTTTGACCTACATGCTTTTGGTTACTAGCCTTGATCTCTACCAGTGTTATTTGTCTGTAAAGGTTTTAATTGCATATCCAAATCATAATGTCTCATATATTAACCACTAAAGTAAGGTAGGCCTGGAAACATGAATTGTATTTACAACTACAAAAAGTTCTAGAATGCATTTCCCAAAAGCATCGTAAAGCTAAGTAGATCATAGAGATCATCAGAGCCAATGGTTCAACGGTACTTAGGCCTATGGTGCTTTTGTGAAGCGCAGCTCTTGTTAGAACATCTTATACACACCAGTGAAGAGGATGTAACAGCATAAATCACTTTAACAGACTGATAAGCTCTTTTGCACTACACTCGTTATATCGTCACAGTTGTTTATATCACTGGTTTGCACTATAACTGCCATGTGCCTTATGCCACTTTTTCTATCTCTCTTTTTTTCTTTTTTTTACACAATGTCCTTATTTGTATATTGTATAGGTTGTATTTTATATATATTTAAACTGTATTTATCTGTATTATGTCTACTGTTAGTGTTAAGTGTTAACTGTATGCACCAAGGGTCTGAGAGTAACGCAATTTCAATTCTCTGTATGTATGTGCTGTACATGTGGCAGAATTGACAATAAAGCAGACTGACTTTTTGACTTTGATAAACATGAATATAGCAGGCAACAACTGATCATCAATTATTGAATTCATATGCTTATTCCTGCAGCTGTATATGAGGAGGTTCAGTGCATAATTTTTTCATTCCCTAAACATATGAATATAGCAGGCAACAACTGATCAGCAATTATTGAATTCATATGCTTATTCCTGCAGCTGTATATGAGGAGGTTCAGTGCATAATTTTTTCATTCCCTGAACCCCAAAACACTCCAGGATTGACAATGAGACCAGACGTGGAGACTGATCCTGGGTCAGCTCCACTGGAGATGGGAGACAAAGGTATGATGCTGCATATAGCTAATTTTGGAAGCTGTCAGCTTAATTTTAGTTTAGCTTTGATATTTAACAGCATGCTTATGTTAGCACTGTTGTAGCTGCTGAAGAAGCAAATGAGCATCATATATAACCAACAGGAGTTCTGAAGGTGCTTGCATTACATGTTTCAGGCCTGACACAGATCTTGGCGCATGTGATTGCTGAAGTGAGGGGCTCTGTCAATAAAGATGTAAATGGAGCTGAACTGTTGTACAGTCTCCTCAACGCCCCCTGGTTGCAGTCCCAACTAAAGGTAGAGTCCATCCTACATACACCTACTAACAGTCAGGGTTCATCTCCTCCAGTAAGGGTTCATCTTCTTTTTTTCTCTGCAGGTGTATGAATGTCTACAGAGGCACCTAAAGAGTCCAGCTAGGCCGTATCTTTCCTATTCGTCTGGACTCTCTCTACAGGTCAGCTTCATTCTCACTGTCCTTAATTTTTGCCATAGTTTGTGCCACTCATACCTTGTAGTATCAATTCATATCTCCTTGTTGAGGTTCAAAATATGACCTCTAAAGCTTGATCTCTTGGTGTGCCTGAGGACTTGCAAACATTGCAGATTATACCAATCAGAGTCTTGGATTTACAACCTCTTGACACCACATGAACATGACATTCTTGCTCTGTGACTTTGGGTTTAGGTTTTAGCCTGAATCTGGGGGTTATGAGGTCTAGTGTTGGCCTTGGCCTTGGTCTGGTTTGGATCTAGGTCTTAGAACAGGGGTGGGCAAATTTGACCCTCAAGATCCACTGTCAATCTAATCTAACCAAAGTCTCAGGATGACTTGAAAGTTAGAGGCAGGTGTGATTGATTAGGGTTGGAGCTAAACTGCAGGACAATAAATCTCAAGGGGCAGAGTTGTCCACCCCTGTCTTAGAGGTCTTGATCTTTTCTCCAAATTTTTGTACCAATACATTTTCATTTCCTAATAAGTTTTTTGACTCATGTTTTGTGCACTCTAGATTCTGTCTGATTTGCTAGCAATCCAAAACCCCTCAAATGAAGCTCGAGAACTGTATGCCCTCCTTAGTCATCCCCACCTACAGGTGAGCATTCTTTCAATAAATACATGGTGTTTTGAGGGGCAAAGTCATTTTCTTAGCCATCACCCTCTTCTTCATTAAAGAACCGTTCTAAAGTCTAAGGCCAGACGTTATTGTAGTGTTTCAGGGCATACTTTATGGGCCAGTAAATGCTGATAGACACTGTTGTTGTGTCTTTTAATTAGAAGGTTTTAAAGTTGACCACTTCCAGTATTCAATTAGTTGTTTGGAATGTGTTGTCGACCACAGAAATACCAGAAACTACATGTATTTTTCAGGCTCTTCTCTCGGCTCATGACACAGTAAGTTTGAGGGACTATGAGCCAGATCTGCCACCGCTGCCTAAAGACCTGCCTGAAGACGAGGAAGCCATGAGGATTGTTTGCTTGGTCAAAAACAATCAACCTCTGGTGAGCATGACCAGTAAAAGGAGTGGCAGGCATATCTAAGGCTTGCTTTTACTAACCTGTGATTTATTTTGACTCTTTCAATACGTTACTGAAGCCTGTCTTTCAGATCAGCATAGCAGCAAGGTTCAGTTATAAAGAATTGTTAAAAACCTTGTTGCTTAGGAAGAGCATATTTAGACATGAGGTTTTTCCTCCTATATTTCTTATGTTTTAGATTGTTAATTTTTTAAGTTCACTAATAGCTGACCTGATCAAGTGTTCTAGTAAAAGTGTTTCTGGTAACTTTGAGCTGTGTGTTGTCATGGATAGACTGGAGCTGGTAGAGAGTTTCAAAGCCACTGGGACGCTTTAAGGCATGCAACCCACTATGGACTCTTCTCAGCTGGGAGACGTCTGGCTGGAGGCTTAGATGCTGTGTTGGATGGTTCCACATCCACCAAGACTCCTGCGTCCCCAAGCGTTGTTGCTCCCACCACTGTACACCACTGCAACGCTTTGGGCAGTTGCCACCAGAACAAAACATTATGGAAACAGAGCCTCAGTTCCTCCACCCCTTGTGTCTGTAGCTCTGTTGTAATTGGTAAGGACCAAAACCCTGTATTTGGAGGTTCCCATTATTACATCCATCAAGATTTGCGACTTGTATGCCTCTGCTGAAAGCATTATCTAATTAGTGTTCTTTGTCTTCTTGTCTTCATCCATTTCACCATTAATTTCTCATTCTTTCTCTGAAGACAATTTGATTGACAATTTGAACAGTGGGGACAAGAGTGATTGCAGTTCTATGCTACATACATTTTCCCAACCGTCCCCATGGATTTCCTCATCATCTTGCTGCTTTCATGCTTCAAATCCTTCTCCAAAACCTTCTAGAACCACCCCTCACGCCCGAACCACTCCCCCAAGCCCAATGCACTGTCATCGGGTAAGGGAGACCATCACATGCTCCCATACAAGGCCGGCAAAAGAGGAAGGTCTGAATGAATTGCGGAATACATTGCAGCAGGCCACCAGCTGCATGGAGCGCAGTTCTGAAAACGTCCACCTGCTTGGTGAGAGGATGGCCGCAGCTACCGAACGCATCTCTGAGAGCGTGCAGGAGAATTCTCAGGCTTTGGCGATGCTAACGCATGTAGTGGAGAAGCTCCAAGAGCTAGTATCCACAAGCAACACAACTTCAGAATCACCACATGGCACAGAGACTGCAAGTAGAGTGGTTAACCAGATGGGAAGCAGATCGCTCAGTGTTCCCAACAGTCCAGCTATTGCCTCATCCTCTTGCTTTCCTCATTATCCTTCTGGCTCCTCTTCCTCCTCTTCTTCTTCATCTGCCATCACTTTGCTGGAGAAGCCAGTACTATCAAAGGGGAAATCTTTTAATGCCAAAACAAATCCATCACCATCTTCTCAAAGGAGAAAGGTTGATGTACAACACCGGATGACCAATGGCTCCTTGACATCCAGCCCTGCCCAAAACCGCAAAGTGAATAGCAGCACATTTAGATGTTTCATTAGCCAGAAGAAAAAGAAAAACAAGAAAAATGAATAAGGCCACTTCCACGTTTCCACGGTTATGAACTTCCTTTCATATTCTTGCTGTCTCAAGCATGCAGGTCTTTCAAATCTTTAATATGTGTGTGTTCATCTGATATGTCACCACTGGTCATTGATTTTACCATTTTTCCAACCTTTTTGGAGTGATATTTTGAGTGTTTTTTTGTTTTTTTTTTAATTGGTCATTCTCATTGGTTTAATATGACTGTTCATTCTCATATCATCATTTCTCTTAATTATTTGATTAGTCTTTTGATTTTTTTTAAAGATCATTTTAGATTCAGCAGTTAATTTAGTCATTGAATATTGTTCCTGTCATGCCACTTCCATCAGATGTTTGATGAATGCATATTTTGTGCTTGATTCATATCAAATTAAGCCTTGTAGATATTTGGATTGATGTCTGATTTCTTCTAACATATAGGGAGCAACAATCAGGAGAGATGATGTGACAGGAGAAATATACATTGCTCGTGTTATACATGGAGGACTGGCTGACCGCAGTGGTGAGGGTTGCCTGGCTGTACTCTTTTTCTGAATCCCTACTCTCTATTTTGTATATTAGTCTTACATTTCTCATGGAGTCCTGTTTCTTGTCTGTTTGCTTGTTGTTGAAGGTCTCTTGCATGCTGGAGACAGGCTGGTGGAGGTAAACGGCCATCCTGTATTTGGAGTGGAACCAGAACAGATTATACAAATTCTGGTTAGTACACATACAGTATACTCTCCTATAATATGTTGGTCCACAGCATGGTATTCTGTTACACTTGTGTGCTTCATTCCCGTGAGATTATGCTGATAATCACTGCCGGCCCCAATTTTAAAACCCAAATGTGACTGTGTGTGCATTTGTAGGAAGCAAAAAGAGTTATGGTGGTCTCAGCCTTATCATCCTCACACTTGTGTCAAAACCTGTGAGTAAACAGTATATGCTGTTATTGTTTTATATTTGCGTTTACTCAATATGGTTTTAATTCAGCTGTTTTGTATCGGCTGTTCCACGACATTCTAATTTATTGAGATGCACCTGTATACTGATTTGCTGCTCAAGAAACATTTATTATTATCAATAATAAAAAAAGTAGTGCTGCTTAATATTTTTGTGCAAACACTGCTTGTGCATGCAGTGTGAAACAGATCTTAGTCTCTGATATCTTTCTTTTTTCCCCCACTTTTTTATTCTTACAGAAGATGACATGAATTCCATAGATGAAAAATGTGTAGAAGCAGGTATTTTCTTGCCTGATTTAAATGAGTATTAAAACCTTAGCTATATAATGCTTGTTATACTTATATATATATATATATGTGTGTGTTTTTGTTTCCTAATGCGCAGATGAGGAGGCGTTTGAATCTGGTAGGTAAGTCCTGAAGATATCAGGAGAAACATGTACTGAATTCAGATTTAGGGTCAATGTTTCCGTCATTAACAGAACTGCCCCCTGACCTGAACTATAGAAACAGCTAGATTTGTTAACAAATATGGTATTAAAGATGAAGTATGGTTACAGATTTTTGAGTGCAGCAGTAAATACTGTAAATAAATAGCCTCTGATCACTTTTGTTCCTGTTTCCTTCATGATGATTCATCAGAAGAGGTAAAGGATGGTGAGTGTATATAACTCATTACTGTAGAAATCATAAAGTTTAATATTAATTGCTGTTGCGGATTTGATTTTTATTTTATTGAGTCATTGCTAATTGTTCTGTGTTTGTTAATTGATGCATTAACTGTGTCTGGTGTTGTGCTTCAGAGGAGAGTGAATTCAGCACCAATATTGAAGGGATTTACCTGAGTGAGTGACTCTCAGATATTACAGAATTTGGTTTATATTTACTACAGCATATTTACAGCCACGGACCATAAAAAATGGCAAAAGCTAATTACAACTTTTGTACATCTCACAATTTAGACCCCCCCCCCTCACAGTTTTTTTTCCCCACATTGCAATAAAAAAACAACAAAGGCAATTTTATCTTACAAGTCTGTCTTTTTTCCTCATAATTGTAAGTTTATATTTCAGAATTTTGACTTTTCTTCTCAGAATTGCCAGTTTATATCTCAAATATGCAAGTCAGAACTGTAAGATAAAATTTGCAATTACCTTTTTATTTTTTTTATCCTATGGCAGAAATGGGCTTCCATGACATTTAAATGGTTCACAGCATTGTAACACTGACTAGATAAAGGCAACTTTGGTTGGTTTTGGTTTAGCTATGACTTTGTTGTAGATACCTACATTTTGCACATACTAATGATTAAAATGAATGAATATTGACCAGTCAGGTAGAAGCTGTCATTTTTTTTTTTTAGATGTTAGTTTGGTTGTAAAATATTACATGCATTGATTATATTACATTTAAAAAATAAATACAACACTTTCCACTCATTAACTTTTCTGATTCTGTAGCATCATATGATTCTTTGCATTTATGATTGTGCTTTTATTCTGTGTACATCTTATTGTGTGTATGCCAGCTGGTTTTCGACGAAGTCTGCGTCTCTGTCGCCAACCGAGAGGTCAGGCATTTGGAACGTCCCAGTTCTGCACCTTACGCTGTCCCACGAACTGTTACAGTTCACTGGCCAAACCGTATGAGGAGGTGGTGCGGTACCAGCACCATCCAGAGCACCCACACCGCCTCATAGCTCTGCTGGGTGAGTGTGTCTCACGGGGCTAAAATCAGCCAGCATATTACCTTGTAGATCTGGTACAACTTACTGTAGCTATTATGCCCTGCATGTGCATTATCATGTATGTTCTGAAATTGTATTCTGCCATCAGGTCCGTCTGGGCTCGGGGTAAATGAGTTACGCAGGAGGCTAATTGAGATCAATCCCAAGGTCTACCAAGGAGCCGTTCCCCGTGAGTTTCATTCTACAAATATGACTTTGTGTGATATAACTGTACATATGTAAAAATGTACATGCGTGCTGATTTTGAAGTTGACTTTCATTTCCACTTAGATACCACAAGGCCACCCAAATGCCATGAGGAGTCTGGCAGAGAATATCACTTTATCAGCCGAGAGCAGTTTGACACCATGGTCTGCAATCACAGGTGGTCTAAATATACTCGGCTGTGCATAAACAGATAATGTTTCCAGATTTACTATGTTTTGCGGGGGGCTGTATAATCTTTCTATTGTTTTGTAATCTTAAGTAGGGCTGTGACCCTTTTCTTTCTTTCTTCCTCAGGTTTATTGAGTTTGGGGAGTTGAGAGGTCATCTCTATGGCACTAGCGTGGATGCGGTTAAAGATGTTTTGGCGAGTGGGAAGATCTGTGTGATTGACATTGAGCCATATGTGAGTTTCTCTCGGAACTATATTCATCTGTTGTTATAAGTGGCACTTGCTAAGGTTTATTGCTAATATTTTCGGTTAGGAACAACCCCTTAAATGGATGCGGTTAAAGATGTTTTGGCGAGTGGGAAGATCTGTGTGATTGACATTGAGCCATATGTGAGTTTCTCTTGGAACTATATTCATCTGTTGTTATAAGTGGCACTTGCTAAGGTTTATTGCTAATATTTTCGGTTAGGAACAACCCCTTAACTCGTGTTCAGATCTGTTGAAGAGAAGAGTGTTATTTTAGTGTTATTAATATACTATCTATGCTACTATATACTATTTTTAGTTATTGTTAACTAAAAATTAGACTATAAAAACATTTTAGTTACTTAAAATAAAGCTAAAATAAAATGTAAAATATTATAGTAGATGAAAAATGTAAACTGAACAAAAGAAATCCTGCCATGGCAACTTGCTGAAATAAGTTGAAACACTAAAATTACTAAAATAATAATTAAAAACTAAAGCTGAAAAAATTAAACTTTTAATTTTAGTTACATTTCTGTAATTTTTGTGTGCTTTTGCCATTTTCATCATTTTCTTATCGCTATGTTACATATTTAAATATTACTATTTTGGTTTAATTCATTTTTGTTTCAGTTTTAGTTTTTATTTCCAGTTAGTGCTTCAACTTAGTTGCCCAGTTCATTTCTAATTTTCATTTCAAGTTTTTCATCTAATATTTATACTTTCTTTTATTTCCGCTTTATTTCAGTTAACAAACATGCTACAATCATTTTAGTTTTAGTAAACAATAATAACCCTGGAAGAGAATTGTGCTATTATTATGCTACAATAATTGTTTAATAAGAATAATTGTCGTCTCTTCTGGATTACACCTGACTTGTTCTGATGCTTTCTATGTTCTTGATCTCCAGGCATTAGAGTCAGTGAGGACTGCGGAGCTGAGGGCGCATGTCATCTTTATAAAGCCTCCTACTGTTGAGCAGATGAAATGCACACGAATGAACTCGCATATCATCACAAGTGACTACACCAGCCAACCTTTTAAGGTGAGCTAGCATCTTTACCTATGTCCACTCGATTTATTTTTTATCTTTCAATTTATGGTTAGTGTCTTAAAAGTACAGTATTTCCATTAATCTCTGTATTTCCTCTCTCTCGAGACAGGATGAAGATTTTCAGGAGATAGAAGATGCAGGACGCAATATGGAACAGCATTACTGTCAGTTCTTTGATCATGTGATAGTAAACGACGGCCTGCAGGCAGCATGTGTGCAGCTGCTGACCGCAGTGAGGAGAGCTCAGGATGAACCGCAGTGGGTACCGGCTGCATGGATCAGACCAACTGACCAGTCTTAATATGAAGAGCTCAGGGATACTATAGGAGAGTGGATGGGCATTGACATGCAAATAAACTTTTTTTACACTTTTTTTTGGGTGAGGATAATGTGTTTTGTCTGCAAAATGTTCGTCTGAATGCAAAATATGTTTACATTTTTTTCAGATGTCAATCTTTTCTTCGCCCTTGTGAAAAAAATCAATAAAACCTAAACATTTATTAAGCTCTCCAAAAGAGATTTGGTATTTTTGAGCACTCTTAATCCGTTTTAAACCGTATTTGATTGTGAGGATTTTCAGGTCTGGAGTGACAAGGCGTTAATCAGAAGAACTGAACTAAGGTCACTTGAGTTGATGTGTTAATGGAACAGTGGTATTTGAAAGAAATTAAACTTTTCACACCTAATGTTATGCACATGTCCTTTTAAGGTTTTCCATTAAAGTATATTCATAAAAAACAGGTGCTTCTATATTAAAGGTGCTGTATGTAAGTTTTTGACTCTACTAAAGCATAAAAATACCATAATATGTTTGCAGATATTTAAGAAACATGCTAAGTTGCTGCCGACTTTATTTCAGTGTAGTGACGTATTTCCATCTGAAATGGAATATTGAGTAGAGGGCAGGGTTTTAGGTTTGCGCTCCTCCTCTCTGTCTCTCACTCATAGCAACCTAACGGTTGGAGGGGTGTGTTTAAGCATATTCTGCCCAAGCCATCAAACTGACATCATCAGAGAAGGAATGCCATTCCAGAGCGGAAGTAAATGTTCAGATTCTGATTAAAGATTACGAAGACAAACAAAAATTTTTTCTAACCCTAACTTGCACGGATTCATTGTTTACATCAAGACTAGCAATGTGCTAGTAAAGTAAATAAAGTCAGTTTTGATTTCATGTGGACTTTAACATACTTGTTTATCTGAAAAACAATGCTACAGTTTGAAAATGTGTGTTCCGGGCCGGAATGTCGGTCTCTGTTTTGGTTTGTGAAACCCGCCCATTGTCTTCAAACTGGCAACCTGCGTGTGCTTCAAGTCTGAGGAGGGGCCGGTGAAGAAACCCTCTCCAATATTTTGAATTTGGACTGCAATACCTAGTTCAACCACCTGTATGTCAATCCTACATACAGCACCTTTAAAGGGGTCATATGATGCTGCTAAAAAGAACATTATTTGGTGTATTTGGTGTAATGAAATGTGTTTATGCGGTTTAAGGTAAAAAAAACACATTATTTTCCACATACTGTACATTATTGTTTCTCCTCTATGCCCGCCTTTCTAAAACGCGTCGATTTTTACAAAGCTCATCGGTCTGAAAAGCGAGGTGTGTTCTGATTGGC